GACATTTGTTTGTTTGTTTATAGGGGTGAAGTGAACTGGATTTCCTCGTGGCCACGCCCCCCCCTGCTCTCCCACCCGAGTAAACATCGCCTAATGCCCCCCTCACCCAGATTCAGGCTCATCAAAACAAACCCAGAGGAAGACCGAATCATTACAACCGACGGCGACTCTGGAGGTGACATCCAATATCGGCCGTCTCATCTTACTCCTGCGAATACACGGGCGGCTAAAAATACCCCCCCCCCCTCATAAAAACAAGCTTCCCGATCCAAATCACCGGAGACCCGGTGAACCCGACCGCCGAATGAGCCTGTTAAACCGGCAGTTTGTTCACGGAGACGAAAGCCCGGCCCGGCCTGGTGAAAGTTGGAAACCATGGCAACGGGCATCGTACACAAGCCTTTATCCCGTCAGGACTCCCAGAGACGGAGGCCTGAATGAGGGCGCAAAGTCAGAAATGAATGAAAACAAGCAGTGAACAAACCAGAACGAACTCTATGTGACGTCTGGATTAACTTTCCTGCTAATTGACTTTAAAAAAGATTTTTTTTTTAAACATCTGCTTCAAAATGGATCGATTCCCACCCTGCCCTTGAGTGTCCTCCTAGTCCTTCCCGGGTTATGTTGGGAAGTCGTTAAGGAGACCGCTTGACTCACCGGCATCGGTCTCAGCCGGCCCCTCGCTCCCAGCAGAAATCCACCCAATCCCTTCACACAGATCCACATTCCTCTGCAGAGAGGGCCCAGAGCCATCATTACTCGCCTGACCTTCTGACTGACTGTGACTCACCGACATTAGTGCATCTTCAGACCCCCCCCCCCCCCCCCCCCCCCCCCCCCCCCCCTAGTGTGACCTGGGATGAGGGTTTGCCATTTGTAGCAGTTTGGACAAATTAAGATTTTCAATTTTTTAAAAACCCAGAAGACGGTGACCTTCATTTTCTTTTTCTTTTTTTTTTTGCCCTTCTCCACAGCCGTAGCCCGACGGGATACTGGGTGGGGCACGGACGAGGTTTTTGGGGGGAGAGATGATGAGTGGCAGATTGTGGAGTGGCTGTCCTCTTAATCTGTAGGAGGTGAGTGCCATCTGGAGGAGGAAGGCAGCTGTGCACGCAAGGCAAAGATGGAGCCAGAGACCACTCCCAGAGCCTCGATGCAGAGAGAGAGTCGGCTTTATATCAGACCCACTCCAGCACCCGATTCTGATAATACACATTTCCTACAAAAGCAGTGGAGGAAGAGGCACTGGATCCAGATCCAAGAGCACCATCCAGTGTTCAGGATGGACACATATGAGTAAGATCAACATTTCCAGAGATTAAATCTGACTTCCATAAGCCTCCAGACCCCGACTCTGACACGGGAAATCTTCCGAACATGCAGAGGAATGGCGGGCGGTCTTCAGAGCTCTCCCCGTAAGCCGGGGGCAGGAAGGTACACGGTGTCGAAACCGCCGGCGGCATTAATAATAGATCGCCCGGGAGAAGCTGGGAGCTTTTAGCTGACATAACAAGCCACTCGCCGTATTACATCCACTCAGATGTATCATCTCACATTACAGAGCCGGAGGGTGGGGCTGCGAGTGGGAGGCCAGAGCCCCGTCCGTATGCTGAGTCAGGACCAAAGTGGACTGTGGACATTTAACCTGGTGGTCTCAGGATCTAGTTTGTCAAATATATATATTTTTAATGAGTTTCTATGACTAATAATAGTTGATACAGAGCAAAAAAAAACTGATAAAACTGTCTTTTTTTTCTAGCACAGTCCATAAACTGCTCAGATACGGCAACACAAGATACAAGTTACACAGAGTCACCAGGTGGGGGCGCTGTTGGCCCGGCTATGGGGGCTGTGAGAGGCTTCACCTCAGGACGCCGTGGCACACCTCCCCCAGCTCAGCGGAGCTAATCCGCCCGTATCTGTTCACACACGGCCCTGCGCCACCGGGCTCCGGGCGCCATGCATAATGCAGCACGGAGGCCGCGCTCTGCGCCGCCCAAAATAGCTCCTCATTCACCCGGGCTCACTCCAGCCTCACTAACCGGCACAATGGCGGCACGGCATTAGCCCCCCTCACCCGACCCACCACCCTCTCCCCCTCCCCCCTCCTCCCACACACACATCGCAGGCCTCTCCTGGAGCCACGCTGACTTTGAAAAGCCTCCTCAGGCTCTGGCTGTCATTCCAGCGCCAGAGCCACGCCGGCGGAGTGATAGCCGGCTGCCATGGCAACGGTCTCCATGGAGACGCCGAGGGAAATACAACAAGGCTGGGCGGGCGGGCGTGCGTGAGAGCAGGGAGAACTGACGGATGCTTAATAGGATGAGAGAAACCGACACTATGCCAACACGGATTCGTCTCCGATGAGGAGGATGGACTTTAGTGGAGGGTTCATTATGGAGAAAGATCAGTTTCCCCGATGTAAAACAGCTCTATTTCTTCATTTCTGCCACCTTCCGATGTAATTACACCGGTGCGCCTCAGAGTGCGTCAGAGTCCGGTAAGCGCTGACCCTCGTGGCCCTCGGGGGCAACAGGAAGCTGGAAGCACCATCATTACTCAACTCCCACAATGCACCTCATTTCCTGAGCCGGCGTTACACATCCACCCTCAGCTCGGCACATTAACACAAAAATAAAAGGAGCAAGAGGCCGTCTTACGTAATGATGTCTGTGAGCAGCAGCAGCTAAAATGGCTCCAACACCGAGCCGTGGTCGGGTTTGGACTTCAGTAAGGTTCAGGCGGTGGTTAAGACAGCAGGTCAGGACTGAACCGCAGGTTATAATTGGAGCGGTTCTCTTTGTGAGAGCTCTGCTAACGTGTGAAATGGTTCAGACTCATGTGTTAAAAGAAGACACGGCGGTGAAACGCCTGACGGGGTCAAAAGTCCACAGAGACTCACGTCATGTTAAACCCAGCACACAGAAGTCCCATCAATGGTCTGGTTTAAAACGAGGATGTAAAAAAAAAGAAAAAATAGAAGAAGAAGGCGGCATGTGATTTGTGATTTCATTACAACACCATGAAACTAACATGGTAATGAAAGCAAAACATTTGAGACTGAAACTGATTCAATTTGACCTCATTGAACATAGAAAATATTTCCTGTTTGGGGGGGGGTGGGAAAAAAAACAAAAACTAAATAACCAATTTAACAAACTATGACCTGAACTGCTGGTAAAAGCCGACATAAAACTATAGAAGAAATGAAGCATTTGAATATTTTGCACAGTGCGGTTCATTCAAATGAGGACGCGCGATATAAATAGGTACATAAACAAATAAAAGAAGATATGATACGGTAATCTACAGCAGGGGAAACATCACAGAGCAAAAATAGCTTCACACTCAAAACTTTGCATGGATGGAAATACTCTAGATATGATGTTTGTGAGCTGAGCCGTCTATAAACTGGAGCCAACTCTGTTAAACTGCCTTTGGAAGAATCAAATGGATGATGCCGAAAGGTTTGAGTTTATTAAATAACCACATTACGATGTCGAATAGGGTTCAGAACGAGAGGACTTACCGGCTGTGCAGCTGAGCGGCTGGCTGTCGGGGAGCAGGAAGCCCGGCCTGGGTACGCCCGGGTCACAGTCCTCCAGCAGAGGTCAGCCTCTGGAGCAAAGAGCAAAACACAACCCAACGTCAAACTCCACC